AGTACGATATTATGTCTTGTTTTTACGACCTGTGATCATCAAGGTATTTTGGACAGGTTCGCAAAACCTGTTGTGGTTTGATCAGTAATTCTGATGCCAGTAGATCAAACCTTTGATGTCCCACTGATGTTAAAATAATGAAAACTGAATATGTAGAAATCAAATAAACAACTTAAAGTTAAACTGATGACTTTGAAAATGAGGGTAAATGTGGTAGAAAGTGTCATTTTTTCATACTCATTTTGCTTGTTTTTTGTAGCTACAAAAAGACAATCAAAGATTTGATTGTTTTAAATGAGCATTAGACACAAATAATGCTCATTAACTAGGTGAAGTTTATTGTTCAAAACGAACTTAAAGACAGACAAAGAGACAGGCCTGTACAACTCACCCACCGATCTAATCAAGTCCAGTCACCTCTGCATGACTGAAACGTGTCCTTTCAGCTCTGGAAATCCGAACACTTTCACACACCACAGGCAGAATAATAAATGAACTGTAGATACACTGATCACATCGCGGGCTCCTCGGCTCTCACATGTTTGTCTTTGCAGTGTGAACAGACTAAGCCCCTCTACTCAGCTGTCATAATTTGTTAACGAGTCTTTTCAGGGAGGGAAAAAAGAAAAAGAGAAGACAGAAAAAGAAAAGAAAGCTCTTCACGAGTGACTGAAAGCAGAGGTCCATCCAGAGAGGGAACCCAGGGGCGACATCAGACCGATTTCAGACCAGCCCGTGATGGCATCTCTGTATATTTTAATATTAATGACCTCGGCCGCAAAGCCGCCTCTAAGCTTCCAACAGGTGCCCCCAGCCCCACTCGAGTCTGAAAAACTGGGATCATTCAACGTCTCGCTAACCACCGCCGGTCAATAAAGACTGCACATGAAGAGGACTCCAAGAGAAGGGAAAAAGACATAAAGAGTGGAAGGGGAGTTACAGAGTCAGTCATCTCTTGCAAATAAGTTTTTGAGTCACTTTCCCCAGCTGAAACACGGGTCGATATTTTTCCCCCCCTTGAGAAAGAGATTGACTTTTGTTTGGAGTTTGTGAGAAGTGGGAATCAGAAGCGGGACAATGGGACTCCCCACGGCGAGAGGCTGAGAGGAGCCATCTCAAATCAGTCAGCCAGGGGACTGACTAATCCGTCCATTGTACCTCCCCAGCCACCGGCCGCACATCAACACATTCGCCCCCAATTGTCCCCCACCCTCATGCAGCGGGATTTGCTCTCCCCAACAGCCAGTTTTGTCCACGGCAGTTCGAGCGGAAGTTTCTCACTGACAATTTGCCCCAAATAGATTTGTCAGAGCGTCCAACTGCACCGCACCGACTTGTGGGTTTCTGGGTTTGGGTCTTGGGTCTGTGTTTTTGGTGGTGGTGGTGGTTTGGGACGGGGGAGGGGGCTTTGGCGTGTGTATGTGAATGCGTGTAAGCGCGCATGGGTTTGCCTGTGCGCACGCACAGGTATGCCAGCATCTCTTTTACACTGCAGCTAACGAGGTGGCGCTAATGTCTGCGGTGGCAGTGGAGGAATGCGGGGATAGGCCTGTGGAGTTTAAGGAGGAGGGCTATAGTTTTACTGTACTCACAGACAGCGTGCTCCTAGATGAGCAAGCACGACAACAACACTGTGCTCCTGAAGCATTAAACGCCCACTTTAATAACCACTTTGAAAGAACTGCTGACTCCAAACCTTCCAAGGGAAGCATGTTGCTGTACACACTGTACCCGATCAGCTGCTTACTCATAGCGTTAACATCCTTTAGATAGAGAGTTGATGTTGCAACTGAGGGAACTGAGTTTGTTTTCTCATTATAACTCACCTGCAGTTGCTTCAATATGTCCAATGCGATTCACCATTCGTGAGTCTTGAGTAATTTCGATTTAAGACTTGCCATCAAAACAATTTGGGAAGCCAAATGTGGTCCGATGTGCAAGTGGAAACCTGCGGGCCCCTTAAAATTTTGAAGAATCGCTCGGACAGGTAACCTGCATCTATTCAGTGACTCTTATTGAAGAACTGTCCGTGGTGCTGAAATCAGACTGATTATCTTCCACTTCTTTGGGACGTTAAATCATATTTTAGGTTATTGGGTATTAACAGTACCTGGGGAAGATCTTTCAACTGCCGTTTTCGGAAATGTGCCAAACAAACCTTTTTGCGTTCAACCAGTGGAATGTTTTCAGAAAATCACTGTCATTACCATAGCAGATGAAGTGATTCTTCACGGTCCAGACAACCAACCTCCTCGGCTAAACACGATCAGTGTCTGTAGGCTATGAGATGACTGAAGATGATCTCCCTGGCCAGTTTTCAGAGATGCACGGCTGCTGGGGCCTTTGGTCGACTTGAATTCTCCCTATTATTTGCTTTCTGGAGCTTAGTGACTTCTCTCCAAAGCCAATTGGTTTACGCCTGGTCGGTTCGGGGGGCCTCCACAGTGATAGCAGTACATAAAAGATGGATAAACTCTAATGGATGGGATCTATTTGAAGATTCCCCAAAAAGCAAAACATTGGATGTTCTAAATTTTTTTTTTTTAAAAATCAACAGGTGCACAATCCAAGAATATAAAATCCGCTTTCTGTCTGATATGTGATGTTTTCGCAGGTGTTTTTTCTCATTGTTTGAAACTCATTCAGACATTGAGCACACACCGCGGTCTCCCTGCATTGTTCTGCGCTGACTTCTGTTGGACTCTCACTCTTTTCTCGTTGTTAAAGTCTATACTATAGTATGTCAAGTATCCGCATACTGATGCCGAGATCCCCCTCCCCAAAAAACAGATACACAATCCACTGCCCCCTTTGTTGGCCACATTTCATTGACTGCTGGAGGAGAAGAGAGTCACTCATACAAAAAAAGTGAAAGAAGGCAGCCCCGGCAACCATGATGTTGGTTATATTTGTGTAAAGGCTATCAGTGAATGACGAGGATTAGGACGAGTTAAGGAGATTATGTCACACATTCACCATTCACCCAACCCAGCAGCCACCCACACACATGCGCACACACAGACACACACACTCACACACATACACCACTTCACGTGCATTTAGAAACAAATGAAAACTGTTATCGATTACTGATTATGTCTTCGTTAAGGAAAGTTATTGGATCTTATTTCTTTTGAAAAGTTAATAATTTAGGAAATGCAAAAATAAGCCAAAAATAAGTCTGGGGGGGGGGGGAGACGGACTTAAAATTAAAGAAAAAATTCTACAGTATAAGTGGCCTATTCAGAGAATAGTTAAAACACACAATTTGCGTCTATAAACGTCCTACAGAGGGCCTTTCTATGAGCCCCCTCAGGAAAATCAAAGGAATATTAGAATGATTTCTCCTCAGGCTTGTTAGGCTCCAGCCGGAGCCGTTCAGCTAAAGGGCAGATTGAAAGACACGACAAAAGCTAATTGCAATTAACTACGCCTCTCCGCCTCGCCCCTGTCCGCTTAAATCGACACTTTGTGAGTCCATATGGCCTTCAGTGTACCGTGGGAATGAACACAATTAAAACAGAATATGGATTTCTGGAGTTACCCGGCGAAAGCGCAACAAGCTGTCAAGGTCAGTGTGTCAATGAGTGGGCCCCGGACAGCCGGCCGTGGTCTGCACCTTCATGTCCAAAACCGGATCACCCACTACAGAGAATGCTGGCAGCTACAGTGGCAGATAGATAGATAGATAGATAGATAGATAGATAGATAGATAGATAGATAGATAGAATATATAGATATTATTTATTTATTTATTATTATTATTATTATTATTATTATTATTATTATTATTATTATTATTATTATTATTATTGCCCATTTCTTTTGCTGTAACTAAAAAAGCTAAAGTGCAAGAGTGCAAATCGATCTAACATTTTAAAAGATAATAGTAAAATCTTAAATGTGAAGGGCTCATGAAGTTCAGCGGTAGGTTTGCATGAATCGTCAAAGAAAATCAAAGTAAACAGAATGAAAAGCAAATATATTTAAGTGTGTTTATATATTCAATATGTATGACTTTTTATATTTCACATTTTTCCCAAGTTTGTATTTAAAGATGGTTGTTAAATTAAAAATGAATGCTTACTTTTTACATTTAATAGAAGCCTTGTTTTTTTTAATAAGTTATATTACAAGGTCCCAAAGTGTGTCTGCATGGTGTATCTGCCCACCTAACGAGCTCCAATAAGCCACTAACAAAGGAAAGATAATGCAGACTGTGGAGCAAAACTACACCAACGCCCCCGAGAAAACGGGTGAGAAATGGATATTTTACAACTTTTAACTGTATGAACCTTTTAAATTTGTCATCTCTTTAGCCTTTTTTATATTTATTAAAGAATCAAATACGCAATAAAGTGTTTTAAAAATCAAAGTTCAGCTTTATGACAGTTGTCTTGACCGCTGCTACGTATGTGGTGGAGCCCAAGCATTTAATCTGGAGGACTGTACGAGGAACCAGACACAAATGTCTTTGTGCTAGTGTAGGAAATGAGGAGCGCTGACTGTTGAAGGTCTCAGCCCACCCTTACCCCCCACCTCCCTGTATATGGTAATACACTCTTATTAGTGGTCAGCATACCTCAGCATACCCGAAAATATTTACAGTAATCAGCCTCTTAAAGCCATCTCCACGGTCCCAACAGTTTGGATCATTTTTACTTTTTTATTTCATTTTATTTTATCTTTTTATTCTTTAGGATATGCGATTATATATTTTAAACACATTTTGAATATTTTCGGTCATATTATTATTATTATTATTATTATTATTAATATTATTATTATTATTATTATTATTATTATTATTATTATTATTATTATTAGAAATAAGAGTTTTACACAGTAAAAATCGCAAATGCAGTCCAGGAAAACATGCAACATGTGTGTTTTGTCTGCAGTGGATCTGGCTCCGTTAGCAAGGCACTTCACAGCACTTGCACACACATTCAAGCGCACACACACTCCCTCGCACGCCAGTGACGTCAGGATGGAGTTTGGAGTAGAAAGCCAAGTGGATGAAGGAAGTGGAGATCTCCACCCTCCAGCCTCCCCCTGACACTTCTCATAAATATTACCAAGGCTTATTCGGGAGGCTCCCACCATAAAGTCACATCGTGTCCTGGTTTTAACAAGTTTTCAACCGTAAGAAAATCGGAAATTTGCCCCTTTTTTCCCTTCGCCACCGCGTTGGCAGTATCGGATGCGCTCCGGCCACCGTTTTTCCAACTCGAACTTTACGCACCGGCTACTGCGCCACTAGCTGGAGAGCTGCTGTTGCCGTTTACCGGCTGCTGCCCGGGGATCCAGTCCTGGTTCTCCGGAATCTTCGGCGTCGAGGGCAAAGATCCCTGATAAAATGTATAATTAATGTTTTAATTTGTGGCTGTCGATCGATCGGAGGCTGACTTTTTATCAACTTGGCTTCGGGACTTTGACTTGTGTTTCTCGTCGCTGCTGGCAAAGAAACCGAGAAACCACAAGTGATTCAGTGTCACAAACTTCATTGTTTCTGTCCACAAGAAGAGGAGAAAGAGGACACTTTTTATCCAGATTCTTTAAAATATCGAGGATCCAAGATGAGCAAACCCACCGGTTCAACAAGTGGCTGTTTGGATATTCTGAATGTCAAATCAAGTAAGTTTTGTTCATCATCATCTCCGATTCCTCTGAAGAACACGGCATAGATAATGGGAGGTCTACAGTAGCGACGGGTATAACAAATGAGTGAGTGAGTCCATGGTGTCTTTAAAGATGTTTCTCACGACTCTACCTCATGATCACAAAGTTGTGAGTATGGGGACTGGCTGTCGGCCGTCTCAGAATGCAATACATGAACATCCCCGGATAACAAAGCTCCTGAATGAAAGGAAATCATGTGTAAAATTTATTTTGTAATGTTGCTCACAGATTTCGAGAAACAAAATAAGAAGGAAGCGAAAATAATAAGCGAAATTCATTTGCCGACCACTGCTCTTCAAAAGCCCCACATGCTTCCCTTTGATGACACTTGTTGCCTGCAATTTAATTTTCAGCCTTTAAAAAGAGTAACAGCGCAATATGCAGGGTATCATTCAATCTTACATGAAGAGAAATCCCGTTTGCGCACGAGATTTTTTTCTCTTATGTCTGAAATGTGTTTGCGCATTTCTGAATCCCTCATTTGAGTTTCCTGAAGCGCTTTAAATCATGTTACTGACTTTTTTTTAAAATAGTAATAAATTTCAAGCAGATTTACACTTTCCTATCAAATTATTTTCTGATCCGTTTTTTCTTAACCCTTGCAATTATCCCTCTGCTAGGCCTCATTATGAATTCAAATGAAGGCGGACTCAGATCATAATATAGGCCTAAAGTAGGCTATTGTTCTCTCTCTCCAAAGAATGGACATTTCTGTTGAATTCACATTTGATGCTTCTTTTAGAGCTACCACATTTTTTTTCACACCAGGCCGCCGCTTTTAAAATCTGTGCTCGGCCGATGTAAACGTGTGTTTTCAAATGAGAATAAAACGACTCACAGCATTGCTGTGACTCAAGTTCACAGCCACGCTACCGAGTGGTCAGAGGAAACAGCTCTTTCTCTCCCTAAAACTTCATTTCCAACTCTTTTAGCAGGTTTTCGCCTTGATGGTGATTACGTTAATAGAATATGCCATATATCTTCAAGCAATTACTGCTCACAATGGAGACGCAGTGGACCCCCACAGTGGGAAGTTAAATACATTTCCCCCTTTCACAACAAAATTGTCTGTCATTTTTATTTAATTGACTCCCAGCGACCATCGTTTAATATTTGGGGGGGCATTTTTTCTTGTTGAAAATGTTTACACTTTCGGTCATCCGCGGTTTAATTAAACTCTAAATTTTAATTTGGGGGCTGTGTCAATGAAAATGTGATTTGGTTAGCTTTGGTTTTAAAGGTTTGTTAAAACAAAATAAAAAAGAATGATTTATTTTTTTTTTAAATTAGAAAACAAGAAAATAAAAGAACAACAGTGATAATAATAATAATAATAATAATAATAATAATAATAATAATAATAATAATAATAACTAGGACCAGTATGGAACATGTTGAGCGTAAATTTCTCCAATTACTAATGACAAGTTGGGTACCAAAATACCAAATTTTGTTTAACAATAAAATGTTTAAATCCAACTTTAAAATGACTTTTTTATTGCATGTTACAGCAATTAAATGTCTTTTGCGTACATTTAAAGGGCTACAGGGAGTTTTGATTCTTAATAAACAGCCAATTCCAGTCCTATAACTCTCTCCTGAAGTCACTGTTTTTGCTGCTGAGTAGTTATTCCCATGCTACCCTTTTTGACGGGTCACTGGTGAATCAATGAGCAGGTGGCAAAACGTCAGTGTAATTACATAGACGGCTTTTCCCTCCAGAATAAAAAAAGGACTGCCTCATATGCATACAAATATCTTCTTTTTAAGAGATTTGAATACAAAATCTTCACAAAAAAAAATCACATTTTTTCATCTACACCGGGGTCGATTTACATACACTTCATTTGAGTTGGTGAAACGAGTTGGTACGCATTATTCTCATGGTGCAGTGTCACTCCCTAATCCTGGGGCCTATAGACCTGTGGGATAAAGCAGCTGTCGAGTCCCATTATGAAGTGGAGTTGGCAGCTTGTCGAGATCCAGGCAGTCAGACGAGGTTCAATGGGAGAAAATCATTAAGTTAACACTTTCCCCTAATGTCTCCATTGTGCGTTTTCGGGGTATTGTCTTAGAGAGCTCAAATATAACGCTTCCCACCGGACTTTATTCTTAAAATGTGCGCAGTGAATTCCCATGGTCGTGCTCGGATGAGACGCGGGGCGTTGTCCAGTGTGCGTGTAATGAGTGTGAGAGCGTGTCTGTGGCTGTGTGGAGTTGTCGGACATAAGTAAGTCACATGCAGGACAGTTTGTTCATTGCTTCAGTGTATATGAGCTCGATTATGGTACTTTTTAACTGATTATAGGGTCGGTGTAAAGTCACATAATTGCAGGTCGGCCGCTGAACTGCAGCCAGTGTGTCAACTTTGAAAACTGTTATACCAACTTATTCTGGAAAAACACTGTAAACACTTTGTTCCATCATATTTATTAATAAATCCCGCGATTACGCGAGCAACCGCTACAAAATGTCATCAAAATGTTTTGATTTAAAACTGAACTGTGCGCTTCGTAATTCAGTGAGCACGTCATTTACTTGACATTTTTGACCTCTCCCAGGTCGGATTCTGGACATCCCATGTAAAGTGTGCGGTGACCGCAGCTCAGGGAAACACTATGGTGTTTACGCCTGTGATGGCTGCTCGGGATTCTTCAAGAGGAGCATCCGCAGAAATCGGACTTATGTGTGTAAATCTGGCTCGCAGGTGAGGCCTCCTTTAAGTTTATACAAGCTCGTAACTAAATTTCCCTGCTTTTTACACGAGGCTGAATTGGCTGTGGTTAAATGCACCCACTATTTGCGCTTTTCAAATTCGATTAAGTAGTTTTATTTATTTATTTTTAATAGAATTTCAAGCAAGGCGGGAAAACAAGCAGGCAAAGAAATTATCAAATCAAGCCTAAGTGAGAAACCTGTACGCAATCATTGCCATGAATATGGAGCAATTTCTTTCATTTTCCAAATAAAGTTAGCACCCTGCACAGAATTGGTCTCATCCTTTATTCTTTATATTCCCTAGGTGTCTGATTTTCACCCACAAAACTACCAAGCGTTTTACGCGCGTAATGCACATTTTACGCGCTGATTTCTGTTTGCTTTTCTTTTTGGCGCTGAGTTAAGTCTCTCTTGATGAGCCTAATTATGTCATGCCTGGACCATTAAGTACTGGGCTAAGTGCCGCGCTGCTGTAATATATCAGGTGTAATCCAATCTAATGTGATGACTCGAAGCCGAGGATTTAGGCGGCAGAGGGCGGGATAGAGTACTTATCCTGCGGGATGAGGCCACACTGGAGCCGCAGGGGAGCACCTCCATAACTAAAAGATAATAGTACGATCTTTCACCTGGAGATTGCCCTCCCAGGAGGATAATAGCAAGAAGCTTTTTTTTCTCTCCTGCAAGCTAAGAGAATTTTAACTAGAAGCTGTAACCCCTTCCTCTTTTTTATGTCCCCCTCTCCCCCTCCCCTTTTCTCTCTGTACAGGGTGGTTGTCCCGTAGACAAAACTCACAGAAACCAGTGCCGAGCTTGTCGTTTGAAAAAGTGTCTGGAAGTGAACATGAATAAAGACGGTAAACGAGCTTAATTGAATTATCATGTTGAGCAAAGAAACGCCAGTACAGTAGGACAGTATTGGATTCGGGGGAGAAAAAAAGTGTATAAAATCTGTTAATCAAAGCTGAAAAGAAGTTGATAATTACCTGCTCCCCGCTTGTTTTAAAGGAGATTTTATTTATACCTCCTGGGAGCGCTGGTAGAAGCTCATTATTTTTTTTCTTTCACGCAGAACATTTGCACTTTAAGGAGCAGATTTCGTTCAATAAAATAAACCCAGGATTGCTCCTGGAGAATGCAATTAACGATCCTGATAAATAAGCAGTTTGCTCTCTTTCACACTGCCTTCCTACTGTCCCGCTCCACAGCCGTTCAGCATGAGAGGGGGCCACGGACATCTACAATTCGCAAACAGGTCGCTCTGTATTTCCGGGGCCACAAAGAGGTGAATGGCTCCTCGGCACATTTCCCCGGATCCTCACTACCCGGTCCTCCTTTTTTCACCACTGTCACCCAGCTGGAGCCGCACAACTTGGAGATGAGCACAGTAGCCACTACACCGGAAAGACAGGCCATCGTGGGTCTAGCACAGCCAACTCCTAAGGTAGATTTTTATTTTAAGATTACGCAATTTAATAGCTACAACGTACACTTTCTTCAAAGAGTTTTAGACCTTCAAGTAAAGAATGAGAGCATAGAAGTCAATCATTTCTTGGCTCTCGTGTCGCAGTCCATGCATAGTTTTACATTTAATCACTTCTAGATGTAGAATTCCTTAAAATGTTAGATGTTTGTATTTCTTCCAAACCGTTATTGTGCGATTAATTAGTAAACATTTTTTTAACACAAGGGTTAGAAGTTGAAATTCCTCTCCAGATTTAAAAGCCTGTAAGACCAACAAATCCGCCAATTAGATTTCTCACTGTAAATCCACCACAAGCAACACTAATCATTATAAAACTGGGCGCTGGGGCTTGGAATTCGACCTTTGTTGTTCACCGTTTTCCGACCTGCGTTTCTTTCTGACATAAACAATGACAACATTTTCATTTTCCCTCTCTGCAGTATCCCCACGAGGTCAGTGGCACCCCGATGTATCTGTACGAGGTGGCTACGGAATCTGTGTGCGAGTCAGCTGCGCGTCTTCTCTTCATGAGCATCAAGTGGGCAAAAAGTGTCCCCGCGTTCTCCACCCTCCCTTTATCTGATCAGGTAGCCACGATTTGGACTCCTTCTCCAAATGAATGATACTTAAACATGATCCCCAAACAGGCCATTAGCGCCCTGTGGGGTTTGAAATGATGAACAGCTGCCAATTAAGTATTTGGTCCGCAGACAGACGCTTTAAATTAATAAAATTAATGTCATGAATTTGATAGTATCGATTTGAAAACTGCATATCTAATAATTCCCAACCAAGCCCTAAAACCTGCACACAATAAGAAGGAATTAATCTTATGTTGTTATTTTTACCATTCAAAAAGTTTCAAATACTTTGAATGGTTTAATTGTTGCGTGTTGTGCACAGTTTAACACTTAAAACACCCCCTTACAGCTGATTCTGTTGGAGGACGCTTGGAGAGAATTATTTGTTCTGGGCATCGCGCAGTGGGCCATTCCCGTGGACTCCACAACTCTTCTCGCTGTTTCTGGTATATGCAAAGCACGAGAGAATTTTAAGTGAAGAGCGAGCAGCTGTTGTCGTGCATAATAAAACTTTTCTTCACATTTATCCAAAGGGATGAACACTGAAAACACGGAGTCTCAGCGGATGAACAAGATTATGTCTGAGATTCAAGCGCTTCAAGAGGTGGTCACCAGATTCAGACAGATGCGCCTTGACGCGACCGAGTTCGCCTGCTTGAAATGTATCGTGACATTCAAAGCTGGTGAGTACCTCGCAAATTACTGCCCGAATGTTTGACACAGTGTAAAGACTCTTACCGGAAATAACCATATTTACCAAAGCAAACCTCAACTTTCTCTGCTGCATACAACTACAGCCAATCTGGGAAGACAGAAGAGAATATATGACATGTCATTACAGCAGTGTCATGTCAGCAGATTTCTAACAGCTATAGTGATGCCTCTTGTCTTACAGTTCCTACGCATGGAAGCACAGAATTAAGAAGTTTCCGCAACGCCAGCGCTATTGCTGCTCTGCAAGATGAAGCCCAGCTCACTCTCAACAGTTATATACACACCAGGTATCTATCTATCTATCTATCTATCTATCTATCTATCTATCTATCTATCGTGGCTCAAGAGTTGGCAGTTGCCTCTGTCAGTGCGCCTCAGGGCAGCTGTGGCTACAGTGTAGCTTGCCATCACCAGTGTGTGAATGGGTGGATGACTGAATGTAGTTTAAAGCGCTTTGGGGTCCATAGGGACTAAGTAAAGCGCTATACAGGCCATTATCTATCTATCTATCTATCTATCTATCTATCTATCTATCTATCTATCTATCTATCTATCTATCTCTTCATCCTAAGATAAAGCATGCTTTACGCACGTGTCAACTGGCTATAGTCTGCCAGCTTCATTATAAAGTTAATGAGGCAATAAGCCTCCTGTAATTGTGCAGGTGCACCAGATGAAGCTCGTATTCAAGCTAAGTAGGAGCTATTTGTCACAGGTGTGCGGTAATTGGACAGGCTGCAACAGACAGTCTGCAAATGGAACCGGACAAAAAGGCTGTTTTTGACACCAGTTGTGTTTCAGGTACCCGACTCAGCCGTGTCGTTTTGGTAAGCTCCTCTTGCTGCTGCCGGCCCTCCGCTCTGTCAGCCCGTCCACCATAGAGGAGGTGTTCTTCAAAAAGACCATCGGCAACGTTCCCATCACCAGGCTCCTGTCCGATATGTACAAATCCAGCGATATATGAATTCTCACCATCTGCCGGGGCGCGTGAGGAGGGGAAAAAAAAGACTGGAGGCCCACGAGGAGACCCACTGAACAATCAACACAGACGGTCAAATCATAGCAGGTGTAGCCACGGCACAAAATCTCTTACGGGCTGTCTTAATACAGCCTATTTAGGCTTAGGCTCCATTGAACACATCCGGATCACAACTTTAGCCTGTTAACAGTTGCTCTAGTCAAGGATTAGCATGTACCTTTCATTAGAGACCTGCCTGTCTGATTCTGAAAACTGCAATATCTTGTGGCCAAAACAGCTTGCAGCGTTTAAATGTCGCCTTAAGGCTCTGGAGAGCACCTGCCAAGCACGTTTCCTAAAGAAACGCTGTACATTAAGACTTTTTTTGTTTGGATTTTTTCCGAGTGTCTATGAGACCAATGAGCTTGACGACCAATTCACCATTTTATTTCTGTGTTCAATCCCAACGGAGGAAACCAAAAAAAGAAGAAGCAGCAGCAGCATCCGGGGGGGGGAGATGCGAGTCGCTGTTCCTCAATTCGGTGCTGAAACCAAATGCACCGATGAGGCGTCAGCTCCATGAAGCATTGCGGAGGACTCTTTAAAAAGGATGCACTATCTACCCCCCCCCGTAAAACTACATTCATCTGAAAAATGGTGTCTGTATTTAAATGGCTGTCCCGTTTGTGTTTGGTGTGTCCTGTTTGAGGCGCAGCATAAAAAAGAAGAAAAGAAAACGCTTAAGGTCGACTTTTTGAAGTTAGACACTAACACTGGATAAAATCTTATTCAGCACTTGGAAATGTTTTTGTGGCCTGTAATGTTTTTATTCTGTTGTAAAAGCAAAAAACAAAATTTTTAATGGAGTTATAACCATTTAGAGTTGTAACCAAGATAATAAAATACAGTGAATTAAACGGTTTTCATATAACATGACCTAGATGCTTATAGTATAGTTTTACTATAGATGCTTATAGTAAAACTACCAGCTGGAGCCCTGGCATCATAGCAAACAGTGGTGTTGGTTTCATATCTAATTACAGTGACACTTTATAAGGATGTAGAGCTCATACTAAATTATTAAACACTAATGCATGCATCTTGATTTAATGCAGGATTTCTTGTGAACACCTGAAGCTCATCAGTAATAACCAACTGTGTACGTTCATTTGATTTGTTAGTGCTTTATCAAGTAATGAATAACATATTATTTTACATTTTTCTTTGCCACCAAATGAGATTTGTATTACATAAAATGGTTCATTTGGGGTTAATCTCTCCAAAATCAGAGCAGTGCTTGCTCTCACAGGACATATGAAGCTGCAATCAAACTCCATCTTCAAATTCAAAAGTTTTACATGGAACTGCACGGGTCAAAAGTCCTCACATCTTATATGTGCAGCATGTGGGAGGCAGTGTGCTTAAAAAAAATAATGTACAGATATGTTATTGTTATGAAAAAGGTCAGACCTTACAAATAGTCCTGAAGGCAAGAAGAAATGGCTTTTTACTTTTATTGTGGTGGCACATGTGATACAAAAGTAAAAGGAAAAAAAAAAGCTTCTGGATCTTGCATTCATTAAGCATAGTGACCTGGCCCAAATACATGTTGTACTAATTCAAGCTTAATCTGTCACAAGTCATAGACTGCATCATTTGTGTCTTTAGCATGGCTCACTCTAGTGTAAGTCCAAACTCAGGGCTGTCTTTGAATAGCTATAGTCATTATACATCTTGCACAGTATTTATTAAACAGGTACAATAAAGTTAGGATGACTGCACTGGTCCTGACTGACTGTCCAGAGCGGGTAGCGAGACAGGCAAACGGCCCGAAGCGACGACAAATGCACTCACACGTGGACACGTTTCACCTATTTTATTGGAAAATATTCAAAATAAACAAAAATGGCACAGCAGTATACAAATCTCAAAATGCATATAGCCAGTAGAAATACTGCAGTTCCCTCTGTGTAAATCTCTTGCTAGAAAATCATTTGTGATAATTGGGCAGGTGCTGGTCAATATACACACACGCACACATATGCACGCCTCCTTTTTCGGAGAAGAACACCTAAGTGTGATTTGAAAGTCAACCCCCATCGTTGCATGTGTGTTTTTTGTGTTTAGTTGGTAGGTCGGTGGTGAGCAACATGCCGTACTGGACGAGAAACGCTGTGGGTCATTATGAGAGCTTTGCATATACAGAACACTCATTCAATGTTACTATATAAATGAATATATTTAAGACATAGCTAAATGATAAATACATCAATATATCCATGTTAGTGGCATTTCCAGACAAAGAAATTGCTATAAATTACTTTCAACCACAGTTACGTGTCGAACATTCTTGACTCTGATTAGAAGGTGAAAACAAACACCGATCAGGATAACTAAACTAAAAGAGGCAGTGAATTATATAATTTTTCTGGGGGGGGGGGGGGGGGGGGGGGGGGGGGGGGGGGGGGGGGGGGGGGGGGCGATATTGTCAATAAAATGTTTGTTTGAGAGAAACCTGGAGCAGTGAAAAGAGCTTTGGGTTGTTGGGCCAAGCGAGGCTGAGCAGGGCTGAGAGAGAGACCAGGCCAAGCAGAGCCATCCATTTATTTATTTATTTTTCTTTCCCTCAGGCTTGCCTGATTTTGGATGGGGTGTAGTTCTTGTCAACAGACTCATCCTGTAGAAACATGTGCAGGCATCGCTCATTCTGAGCTAGAGGGTGACCGGCCACTCTGGAAAACAAAAGCAAAAGTGGACATTCAAACATGAAGCTTTGATGAGTTTAAACAGGGATGAGCACAAACAGGAAACAAGATTTTGCATGAATTACTGAAATGGGCGTGAGAAGTGTGGGGATTTTTTTTTTTTTTTAATATATATAAATTGTGCTAGAAGGACACTTATTTAGCATTGCAACATTTTTATGCAAGTATTTTAAAGGATGATACATTTGGGCAACTGCTTTTAAAAAAAAAAAAAAAAAAAAAAAAAAGCATTTAAAAAAAAAAAAAAAAAAAAAAGTGACTCGCCCACTTTTAATGGGTTATTTACAGCCTGCACAATAAACTGGTCATGTCAGGTGTTTTGCTGTATTTCAATCCTATCAGACTCCAGTAACACGTAAATGCATAAGGATTGATACAATGCTTTTAAAAGAATTTTACTGAGTATAACTGCGTTTTAAAGTATATATTTACACATATATGCCACATCCTTCAAAAGTGCCACTGTGGCATATGGGGAAAACATTTAAGTATAACTTTTGTTGAATTTAGTTAATAAGCAAGCTGAGTAGGTAAGTAAAATTTACTTTCACAAAGAAGCAGTCGTACAACAAAACAGAGTAAAATATGTTAGAATAGGTAAGTGCAGTAACAGCAATACAAAATCTGATCAAGATACAAAACAAACATGTAGTTTAAAAACAAAAATCCAAACAATAAAAAAAAAAAACGGTCAAACTACAAAAAGTTTTACAAGCTAACACTGCTTAATAACACATCTAGGTACTCGCCTGTCATTAAAAGCTGCTTCTCATTCACTGTTCAGTGTCTTAACCACCGACGACACAGAATGAACTTCAAACACTACAATAAGTGCACAACTTCAATTAGGCATTCCTGAAGTTACATGGGCACCATTTATAAACAGTTATAACACTCTTACGTTTTGTGTGTGTGTGAAAGGCAAAGAATTTCCCACCTTTGTTTGAACCCTTTTACTTGTCATCTCCCTACGGTCTCTAAAATATACTATACTATATTATATTATATGAGTGCATTCAAAGTCAAACCTGTTTAAATTTAGTGCGCAGTTTAGATTTGGGATAGATTTCAGTCAACAATGTCACTGATTCACTAACAAATAATTTAAACTACTCTGAAAAATAATTACGCTAAAGTAATTTATACTAATGGAGAATAAAGAGCTGATCTGAACTGATCTAGTTAACATATCGGTAGTTTAATGGTTAAAAGTTACTGTTATATATCATTGATATTATTATAAACTATATTGCCACATATAGTAATGTACAGCACAGTACATTTCCCTAATCGGCCAAGAAATGTGAAAAAGAGTTAACTCTTATTTGAATTTGCCATTTAAATTTACGACAACTTTATCTCACATTTACAAACACATTGACAGTCACAAAAACTGTTCACTTGGGAGTAGTAATCCATTTTCCCCCTTTTGACTCAGAAATGAGCAAAGACATAGAATTAAGTCACACCAAGGCAAACAGGAAAACTAGCAGACTGCCTGTCTCCTTCCACTATTTCACAAAGTTACTCTGATCCTAGTTTGAGGGATTGATAAGAGGCTCTGGAGTATTTGGTGTTCTCAAACGTCTTTAAATCCCAGTAGGACTTAAATGAATCAATATTTTATGACCCCCCTCCCAGTCAGAGTGGTAGTTCTTGTGGAAAATATTGGATGTTTGGGGCTCTGTTAAAGCCACTCTGACATCGAGTTTCCCCTCAATGTCCCTTCAGATGACGCAAAGCGGCTTAACGAGAATGAGCCAGTGCACCTGAGACCCTTAAACGGCTCTTTTTGTAAACGACAAACTGCTCAGAACACATCAAAATGATAAGACTACACGCACTGTATGCATGCATCTTAACCTCTGATAGGAAATATTTCATACAAATTAAGCAGCAAAGGGACTGAGCCAGAGGTCAAATACCAGGGCAGTCACCAGAAACATCAGGCTAGCTACCAACAAATACTGTTTAATAGGTTTGGAAATGTTGATCTGGACGTAAGGCGCAGCAGGAGCATGTTTACAATCTTTAAGTCATTTCCTCTTACCTGAAGCCAGCATTATGTTTGACTAGCCTATCATAAAAAAAAATTTAAAAAAAAGTTTGTTCGCTCTTCTCCTCCTCCTCACTCATTTTGCAGGGATAATCATGTTTAGCATTCCAAAAGATTTCCTCTTCACAATGCTCTCAATCACAGATTTAACAATGCTGCCAGCCACATCAGCCGGTGTTAAGTCTGAACAATAATATGATTAACAGCAGTGTTTCATTCACAGAAAGCACGGGAGGGAGAAATCTTAATTACCAACACATTCTTGTCTCCTTTAAAAATAAATAAATAAATAAATGAAGAAGAAAAAAAACATTTATGGATTTTAATGTTCCTCAACTGTCTTTGCACACTTAATATTCCAACAGGAAACATTGAAGCATTTGCACATGAAACAAAGATAATGGCCAAGTCTGCAATCAAAGCAAATAATTACAATCACACTGTAACTTTTATTGTTCCGCAGCTGAAAACGAGGACATGCTGGATCAAAAATAAGCAGAGGTGCACACACCATCCCGTGGAACCACGCGCTGTAATTTGAGCTGCAATTAACATAAATTACACATCAACAACAAAACAAATGTGGGAAAAATTATGTTGTGGGGGTGCGCACTTGAGTCCTCTTTGGTTGTTCTTGTCCTTTGCGAGGTAATTATAAAGGAGAATTAAGGAGGATAGTGAGGAAAAAGACCTGCCCGTCTCCGAGGGTTCAGTTTGTTAACAATATGAAGAGAAGTGAAAAAGTTGAATCTAGTTATTGCACAACGTGCTTCATTGTTCGTCAGAGTTAAATAAAATAAATAAATAATTAAACTAGCAACGGCAGAAGCGGAAAACGACTGCAGCTGCAAAGAAGAAATTGTTAAGAAGAAATTGTTTTAACCTCATGGACGCATTGTGGGAGAATGGATAAAGACTGAGACGTGGACAGGCTTACTTGTTGAGAAACTGCTCCAGACCCTGTCTCCGCTCCTCGATGAAAGAGTCATCAAATATGCCATCATCTCCTCGGAAAGGAAGCTGCCGGAAAAGAGCTTTCCCCGGGAGAGGTGGTACAACCACCTGAGAGAACAGATTTCCCATTAGATAGAAAGAAGAAAAAAAAGAAAGAAAGAAAGAAAGAAAGAAAGAAAGAAAAGAAAGAAAGCGCAAAATTGAAAGTTTTTAATTGTTACAATAAATTATGAGAAATTTGAACAACTCAAACTATTTAAATATGGGTTTTGTCAATGCTTTTTGTGTGTCATTTCTGAAACTGTTTATGGGCTGAACCTAGACAGGGAAGAAAATGTTCTTTAACAACCCAAAGATGCACAAAACTCCTTTCTCTTTCATAGCAAAACACTGCAGATGTGGTCAATGTTATATGCTGATTTGATAAGCTAAGTACTCGAGCAGCCTTTGTGTGGAGTTCACTTCAATGGCTCACCTTGCTCTCCCTCTCCAGCTCCGCTCTGAGCCACTCAAAGTCGCTGTACCGCCTCCGTACAGAAGACTCCTTCAGCTTGAAGATGGGTAGGTTGGTCTGTGGACAAACACAAGCGGCAGACTGTTACAGGTGTCACTTTTAAGAGCTGTTGTGATTTACAAAGAAATTGTCCTTAAACTCTGGCTGCAGTTATTCAAATGAAATCAGTTTTTCAAGAAGTAGCTTGATATACACTAAGAAAATTTCAGGTAAGTCAGAGTGGTTCAAAGTAAAGCTCAGAAAGCTGAGTTCAAGAAATATCGATTGAATCGTTTAGCAAGTGATAGGAAAATCCAGTTTGTGTGGATGATTTCTCCCCCCATATATCTCTTTTTGCATTTTACTGCCATGCTTCGAGTCCACTTGCCTCTGGGGAGGGACAGATCACTGCAAAATCCATTAAAAGCTGTCCCAAGTAATCACTTTTATCCTGACGAATAAAGGTGATTATGAACCTGTCCGTAGGACATGAGTCGGCACTAAGTGCAAGGACAACAACAAAGAAAATCCCAATCTGTAACCAGATACCAGATTTCAAAGTAATCAAGCACTAATGGGAGATTCTGGACATCGCCATCAAGCCAATGAGTGAGAGAATAGTTATAATTAATATAATTTTGGAGACTCAATCCCACCGTGGAGGTGGCTTACTAAGACACTTTGCTGTTCCTACAGGTTGATGGTGAGGATAATGAAAATGATGCCCGTTTTATTTAAATAAAGTTATGGATTTATCACCACAATGTGATAAAGTAAATCTTTATTTTAAAGCTCAAAAGAATGGAAAATAAAAAGAAAACTGATCAGCAACTATGGGATTGATTTTTACTTCTGCCTGTTGCTCAAACTAAGCAAGCAAATGTTAAATAGACTCATTCTTATATAGTGCTTTTTGACTGAGCACTCAAAGCTGAGTACTACTGTCTGACATTTCATATCCATCCATTTTCTTGCTCTCTCGTCCACTTCAGTGCCGTGGGAATTGCATCCAAGCTGACACCAGGTGAGGAGGATACACCCTGGACAAGTCACCAGTCTATCGCAGATTTACTCACTCACTGTATCGATGGGTTTTCATGCAAACAGAGTCATCACCACAGCTCCATACCATTTATACCAGCGCTGAAGCTGCAAGAACTCATTGAAGTGGTCTCCTAAACAATAGGTTTCCCTGCTTAGACAAAGCCTCCAGATCCAGAAACAAAGAAATCTGAAGTGTAATTTGCTTTCTAAAAAAATAATTCTTATTCAGGTACATTATACATGTACTAAAATTGTTATTTAAACAGTTCTAACCTGTCACTTTAATGTACATAAAGTTATAATAAAAAGCTGGCATTGGATACTCCAAATACCTGATCTATACAGCTCTGTATACCATTATTATCACTTTGACCTTCTGCTCACTCACTACTGACCTTGAGGAGAGAGGTCAGGGGTTAAATGTGACATATTTTAAATCTTCATACAATACTTTTTTATATGTTGATAATATACGGTGTATTTGTAACAACCACACTTTCAAAGTTTTTGTTAATTTTTTACGAATAAAACATTAAGTTGACCACAAAGACCTTGGTGGATGTAAGCCACATTTTATTGATTTGTTAACATGACCTCACTCTACATGCCTACAAATTCATTCAAAACTTTTCGATATGTGGGATGTTTACACACGCAATTGTAAACGCCACCAAAAACAGGTAAATATTAAATCAACCGAGGAAGAAAAAACAAAAACAAAACAGACGGATTGATTGATAATAAAATAATCACTAGTTGTAGTTCTGTTTTCGTTTGCTATATTAGGCCAATTCTGTTATTTCAAGTGTACTGGGTACTTTTATTTGATACAACCACCAAACTGCAAAGCAGTATCTCTGTACTGTTGAAAGTGTTCCTAGGGCTGTGCAATATGACCAAAATCTCATATCCCGATATAAGAATTCTATCGTCCCGATAACGATATAAATCACAAAAATGTAACATTTTCTGTAAATTCTGTGAATCTCGGGCAGCTCGACTTGCGGGAAGTGTTTCCAGCTGCGCGTCATGTAGCTGGAGTCGAGTGTTTTAACCGATGCATGAAACGATACATTTTTAGACATAAGTTGTAACGGCCGCCGTTTTCTTTGTGAGTATTTATTACACGGCGTGCTGCGGGGAAAAGCCTGTTCTAACGTTTGAGTCTAAGGTTTATTTTTTAGCACCTGGCGGCTCTTTTTTACTTCTCATCCGTAAATAATCTGCTCTTTCACGTGATTCAGTTTATTTTGAAAAGTCTCAACAGGATCTTGAGCTTTATTGTGAAAGGTTTATGTGGAACATAAACAAGCGGACACGCGATGGTGTTACCGTCGTTGTTGCTAACCAAAACAGGCGCTTGTCCGTCAGTAGTGTGGTTATATTAAAAATAAGAGAAAGAGAGAACTTTAAGAAATTAATATAGCCACTACAGTGACCATCAAAACGGTGGAAAAAAATATTGCCGTAAACAGTTTATTTTGCGACACCACGAAACAAACGATAGCATAAAATGAAACGATAGATGTTTTTATATCGTCATCCGATATATATCGTTATATCGAACAGCCCCAAGTGTTCCCCAAGAGTTAACAAACTCACCAAGACATTCATTTATTGGAAACATGTTTTAAGAAAATGTGATAACTAAAAACAAAACAAAGGTTTGTACTTTCTGTGGCAATCATATGAATATCAGAAAATTATCACTAAAAAGCTTTCAGGGAGAGCTTGAGCTAACTTGAAAGAGCTAGAGAGGAAGGTTTTATTGACTTGGTTTTGGGCATAGCTTTGTCTTATCTACTCTAACTTAGTAAAAAAAAAAAAAAAAAAAAAAAAAAAAAGGAGGGGGGGAAAAAAAACAAAAAACTCCTTCAAATCGAACCAAACTGAACAGAAAATTGAAATTGGCCTCAAGGCGAAAAGAAATTCCACATTTTGCTAACCAAGGTCTGTCCCACTCAGAATGCTTTGCCATTTTTTTGTGCGTTCACACAGATGTGTGCATAATTCCAAGTTGCTGTTGACAAGCACTTGAGAGTGAATTTCATTTTAAAAAAAGAGGAGATGTTTCGACATTGACAGAGAACATTGAAGCAAACAGCACATTACAGCACAATGCCAAAGCTCTTCACTATTCCTGACAGCACATGGCCATCCCATGACAATGTACAAACAAGGAGGGAGTGAGTGAGCATTTCATTGGCAGGCTACATTCACAGAGGGTCAGAATTCATGGAAGAAGGAATCACAAGAGCAAAGCAATTGAGCAAGTAGGTGCAGCATGAATACAGCGCGAGCAGCAGACTGATCGATAAGCAGACGACTGTGACTGTGTGCGGTAAAGGGGATGGAGAGTTAACTAGAAGGCTGAGTAAATGGCTGAACAAAAGAGAAAGGAGGTGGGTGTACGTGGTCATAAAGAAGGAGCAGAGAAACTAGAGAGGTTGGAAGCTTTGCCTGCTCTATGCAAGACTAATTGAAGAGGAGGAAGACCAGGAGTGGTCTTTTCTCTCTCTCATGGTCTCCCCTTTTCAGTCTTTTTCCTTTTTATTTCCCTTGATCTGCAAAACTAAGTCACATTTTCTGCCCTTGAGACTCCTCTTGTGGTGTTTGAATGGGAAAAATATGGGCATTTGTTTTCTTCAGTCTTTGCTCTGTCCTATCCTCAACCTTCAAAATTATGGATCCCACCCGAGTTTAGTGGGCAAGAACAAACTCATCTGTCACACCCTTAGCAATGATGAAGAGAGTCGCCCGTCAACCACGACTGGTTTGATGTTTAACTGTAAAATAAATGCTACCTGGGCAATTTACTCAATCGCACAGAATGTTTTCTTGAGCTGATGATTGGGTTAAAATCTGGACTCGTGTAGACACACTGATCTTTCACATGACCCCTTCATCAATATACCCCAACGTCTTCCAAATGTGGATTTGAATACTATTACAGATGATCTCACTTAAAAAGTCAGTGCTTTTGGTCCATTGAGTTTTCCTGATTTATTTATGAGTTCAGCTGAACACAATTTTCTTTTGCTTTCTTACCAACCATTTCAGTATTACAGTAAAGTTGGCCATCTATTGATCGTTTATCTTATAGGATATTCTCAGCTGACCGTTTCCTTTTCAATCTCACGGGACTTCATAACTGTCAAATGGACCACCTCAAAACCGCAACTGATACACACTAGAGGGCACAAATCACCTGTGTACAACTAAAAGGTTTGTATACATTAACTTGTCAGCATAATAACGCATAATATAAGATCCAGCGATTGACCTCTCTATGTCAGAAATCTGCAAAGAATTATTAACGTTTCACAGACAGGATGCAACAACACTAATAAACTGCAGTAAATAAGAAAGTCCTGTATGCCATCCATCCATCCATCCATCCATCCATCCATCCATCCATTCGCTTCCGCTTATCCTTTTCAGGGTCGCGGGGGGCGCTGGAGCCTATCCCAGCTGTCGTAGGGCGAGAGGCAGGGTACACCCTGGACAGGTCGCCAGTCTGTCCTGTATGCCAACATATAATAAAAAGCTTCTGAGGTGGCTGTGGAAGAGCAGGTAGAGTAGGTTGTCTACCAAGTGAAAGGTTGGTGGATCAATCTCCAGCTACTCCAGTCCATCTGTAGAAGTATCTTCAGTCAAGATACTAAACCCTGATACTGATAATTGCCAACGTTTTTTGCATCCATCGGAGTTTGAGTGCATATAAACGTTAGATAAAAGTGCTTAGGCATAGATAAAAGCACTGCATGAATGTATGGGATTGAGTGAATGAGAGTTGTAGTAGAAAGCTCTTTGAGTGCTCAAACTGAGGAGAAAGGTGCTATACAAGTACCTGTCCATTTACATTTAGCTTAACCATTTTCTAGCGGTTTGCTCTGCCTTTTTTCTAACAAGTTTTCATGACTCTGCAGACATTTTTGTGTTTTAATCTAACTGGAATTTCTAACTGAAATTGCAGGAATAACTGATCCCTCAACACTGACACAAGTATGCCCAAGTAGTGAACGTAAGAGTTT